ATCACCACTATATTTCTCATGATGGTATTAAGAAAATAATCTTTAACAGAATTCTATTAGAACTCCATTAAGCAAGTGAATAGTTTTCACATAGATCATTTCATATGTATGTTTTGAGCATGTTGTTCTCTAAGATATACCTAAGCACATGAGTATCTTATCTCAATCCAACTCATTCTCCCAAATGTATAAGTGAAGTAAGTTGAAAATATGACTTCCCATAGCTTTTTCTTGGCCAAATATTCATGCTATTTCTATAAAGGCAAAAAGACAAACACTTTACATGCATCTTCTTTATGTCTTTTTATAAAGAACAATATGGATTTTCACCATCTTTCACAACCTACACAAAAATATCTAAATAACATAGCATGGGTCATAAATGGCTGTGAACTTCATATACCAGGCATTCATTTCAAGTGAAATAAGATCAACAAAAGCTTTGTTCACGTCCTATGAAATCATTCATCCTACCATCTGATATCAATGTCTTAGTAGAAAAAGCAATATTGCTATTTTTTTTAAGGGAGAGGAGAAGAACAGAGAAAGAGAATGGTGAAGAAGGGTTAGAAGAAGAAGAGAAAGAAAGAAAAGAAGAGAAAATGGGGAGGACGACGAAATCTGGAAGAAGAGTGAGGTAAAGAAGAAGAAAAAAAGAAGAAGAAGAAGAAGAAGAAGAAGAAGAAAAAAGAAGAAATCTGGAAGAAAAGTGAGGTAAATAAGAAGAAAAAAAGAAGAAGAAGAAGAAGAAGAAGAGGAAAAGAAGAAGGAAAGAAGAAATTTGGAAGAAAAGTGAGGTAAAAAAGAAGAAAAAAAAGAAGAGAAGAAGAAGAGGAAAAGAAGAAGGAAAGAAGAAATCGGGAAGAAAAGTGAGGTAAAGAAGAAGAAAAAAAAGGAGAAGAGGAACGCTTACTTTGCAAAGAGGAGAAGGAAGGAACGGTCCAGGTGCCTGGGAGAAGGAGAACTCCAGAGAGAGGGATTTCGGTTCCCTGCCGTGAGACCAACGACTATGTTTTTTATTTTTGCGAACTAGAGAGACGAGAGCCAGAGAGGGCGGCTACTCGCACCAAAGAAAAAGAGAAAAAAAAAACACCCCGAAGGGCTTGCGGCTAGGGCGAATTATTGGATCAGGTGATAGGACGCGGAGAAAAGTCCGGATATTAAAAAATATATATATTTTAAATTAAGCGCATGTAAAGCGCATGTAAAGCGCAGGTAAAGCGCATGAAAAGCGTATCTAAAGTGCACAAAAAGTACACCGCGGCAAATATGAGTCAAAATGATTCATTCAAGGGCAAACAGCACGTGAAGCGCATATAAAGCGCACGGAAAGTGCACTGCAGCAAATATGAGTCAAAATGGCTCATTTAGGAGCAAAGCGCATGGAAAGCGCACAGGAAGCGCACGGAAAGCGCACCGCGGTAAATATGAGTCAATTCGGCTCGAGTCGAGTCAATTCGAGCTCAAATTAGGCTCGACGGGGTTCGATTAAATCGATCAAAGGTGTTCGAGGGTAAATCAGGACAAAAATGAGGTCAACAAATGCCCCATCTAATCTTAGAACAACGTTTTACTATATTTTTATATTCTGTTCTTCATCTTAAAGTTGAAAACTAATAAGCGATGTTGAGTACATAAACTTTCACTCGAAATAACTTTACAATCTTTATAATTTAAATGGTTTATTTTTCTTATAAGAAAATAATCAATCTGAGTTTTACTATTCTATTCTGGTAAGTGAGATGCTCATCTCTTTTCTTAAATAAGGTATTAGCAATTACAAAATCATAAGCTGGAGAAAAATCTAATGTAGTCTTACCACCTTCATTAGTCACTCCAAACCCATAGCCACCATAAATATTTTTAAAATCCTCTACATCTCTACCAACATGTTCATTTAAATCTTCTCAAATAAAATCTATTTCTTCAATATGTATCTTTTGAATTAATTCTTCTAAGTCATTTCAAAATTTGAATTTTATATACATATCTAAATTTATTTGAGGAGGATAAGCACTTATAATATTAATAATTTTACCATCAACAATAATCTTCAAAGTAATAATTCTATCTTCAATTATATCTATTTTTATAACATTATTCTTCAAATTCTTATTTATAATCACACCTAGCGGTGTAAGTGAGTTGAACCGGCTCGCGAGTAGGCTCAAACTCAACTTGTTTATGGGCTTGCGAGCCGAGCTTATCAAGCTCATGAGTCGAGCTCGAGTTCGAGCTTGAGCCGGCTCGGCTTGTGAGCTCGCGAGCCGGCTCGAATAAATATTAATATTTTTTAAATAAATTTATTTTATTTATTAAATTGAAATATTTAAAAAAATTAATAAAAAGCACCTAAGTTTTATTTAAATGTTAAACATTTTATCTTTTTTTCTTTAAAAAAAAAATTTGACTAAATTTTAAAGATCCCGCCTAAGTTTTAAAAATCCTGTTTAAGTTTTAAAAATCCGGCCTAAATTTTAATATTCCTGCTCATGTCTCACGAGCCGGCTTGCGATCTTGCTCGAGCTAGTTTACAATGGAACGAGCTCAAGTTTGAGCTCGGCTGTCGAGCTCGACTCGAGTTCGAGTTCGTTTTACAACAAAAGAGCCGAGTTCGATAAGACCTAAACTCGACTCGACTCATTTACACCCCTAATCACACCTACTTCATTTCTAGTATGACTTCTACCACAATACCTAAGTTTAAATCCTAAACTATCAGTCTCCTTAACTTTCTCTCCAATCCATTTAGTTTTCTGAATGTATAAAATATTTATCTTCATATGAATCATAATATCAATTAATTCTATTAATTTGCTTGTAAGAGAACCCACATTCCAAGATCTTATCCAAATTCTAGTTACATGGACTAGCTTCTTTTGCCCACATCCATCTATGATCTTTGTTGAATGTACTTAGGTCTGCTGACATTGGAGTCTCCATGGTGATAGATTTGTCATCTACTTCACGATTTCGTGTTGTCATTGATTTGAAGTCAGGAGGTTTTCTATGTGGGCCGTCTTCTGACAATGATCATGCCAAGGTTTTTCCACATTGTTGAATTGGGTTCCATGGGCGGCAGAGGCAGAGATGAAGTATTGAGAAATATTAGGTACCCTCAACGTTACCTTTCTCATGTTTCTTCATTTCAAACTTCAAAGAAGGCCTCACGAATATTGGGAAGAGGCTTCATGCTTAACATTCTCCTACGAACATCGTCAAAATTTTATTTAGACTGAGTAGAAACGTATACACTCGTTTCCACAATCATTCGGTATTTTTGACAATCTTTTGGGCACCTCTATTCTATTTCATTAAAGATGTCAAAATGTTATCAATAAGCATTAAAGAGTTGAAGTATATTATGATAGAGTAATTGTCTTGTTGTTGGTCATGAAGAACACTTTTGAAAATTTTTCTCATTTTTATTTTTTTTGAAATTTATTAATCATGGCATCATCGTATTATTTTTTAACTTCAATATTTAAAACTTTAGGCTTTTACAGTCATTGTGTGTACCACTCTTGTAAGATAATCTTCACTACCTTTCGTACTGACAAATAATATCATTAATTGAAAGGGTTTTTCCCATTAAGATTGTGCCCAATAACGATAAAGAAGGTCTCTGATGAGATGCTGCCGTTGATTAGGATAGATGGACCTTTCACCTCAGAGTAGTCTTTTCTTTTGTTTCCAACTATGAGAAGTGACGAAACAGGAATGAACGTGAGAAAATATGAGGAAAATTACTAGGAAGAGCAAATGAAATCGCTCCTATACCAGTTAAAACTTGAGGACGTTTTTCTTGATTCAATTCTTGAAGGATTTCGAAGTACAAGCTAAGTATAAATAGAGGAGATGATTCATACTTTCCTATATAAAAACAAGTAGAAAGAAAAAGAAATTATTTGAATATTTGAATTCATATCTTTATTATATTTAATATTAAAAAAAGAATGAAAGAGCAATGCCATGGATTGGTGAGGTGGATCAAACAATATTGAAAGCTTCTTGTACAAGTGCAGGCAGATGAACAGTAGGATCCATGAATTCTCTAGGTTCTGTGGACATCAATAGAAACCAATAGATTTATTATCTTAGAGCATAAATTGTCCTTCTTCTTCTATGGAGATCAGTGCACATGGTAGGATCATGTGTTAATTTCTTACTTCTTGAAATCTCGTAATCAAATAACTTTTGGTTATTATCTTTACTTTTGCTAGAACAGATTATCTTACTTTGGCTCAATGTTTTTTGGTTTTCGTTTTTTATTTTGCCCCACTTTCTAAACCATTAAAAAAGACGCGTGATTTTCACCATGATAAAATTTTTAACCTCCCCTTTGATTCAATTCAACTCTTGAATGCTTTATTTATTTTTTTGTCGTCTTTTACTTGAAGTATCTGATCTTTTCCTATAATCCTCTGAAAATTATCATGAAAAAATGATTTATTTTTTTTAATCGTACTTTATAATTTTCACAATATTAACATCAACGAATTTTTTTTTTTTAAATTTCTTTCTAGCTTCAAATTTATCTTTCAAAAGCCCTATTACTAAACCGTTTCTATTTCTGCATTGAATAAATTATGCTGGCAACTTGAAAAGTAAAGTTTTATATTAAATAAACCATTTCTTTCCTTTTTACAAAGATTTTCTTTAAACTTATATTTTTTCTTTTTTCTTTCTTCAACTAGAATTTTGTAAATTTGGAAAGTTAATATTATTGTCAAATAAGTTTATCATCGAGACGATACAATTGTTTTGCTTGATTTGCTTGTGTTAGTGGCAAATTGAGATGATTTTTTTTTTTAATTATTTCAAGTGTTTGGAAAGTTAATATTATTGTCGCTTCTATTTCTAAATCTTAATTTTTATGATGCAGTAAAAGTGGAATGCTTGTAGTGTTTTTTTTTGGTGGAGTCTCTATGCTTGAAGCATTTTGCTAATCAAGTTCCCGAAGACCTACATATTTTCAAGCTTGCCTCAAGTATGTTAAGTTTAAGTTATGTTGAACTAAAAATCATGACTATACAAAATTAGAAAGAAATACACAAAAAATAAAAGAAAATTATATATCTGTTATAATCATAATAATAATAGAAGCCCATGTGCCTATTAATTCTATTTCAGTTTTTTTGAAAATATGTAAATAAAATAATAAATTATTTTCAATATAATAATATTAATTTTGTTTTGCATTTTTCTTAATAACATCCATTTGGTTTACTTGTGATTGATATAGTTTATAGATACATGATTTATTAAAAATAACAAAATTACACCTGAATAAATAGAAAATTTTTGAATTAATCTTAGATGATAAATGATATTTGAATCAGTACTAATTAACTTAAATACAATAAGATCGATTAAAAAATACATTAAAAACTCAATACCCATGGTTAAAGACTGGTAAAGTTGGGCATGATAACTTCAAAATTTAAGGGTGTGCAGTTAAGCAGTACTTTTGCACTAAAGACAAAGGCTTCGTCCCTATTGCTTCATAAATCAGCTTTTTAGTATAAAAATTTAATTTTTTAAATTAGAATGTTGTTTTAAGAAATAATAAGAAAGTCATCCCAAACGAAACCAAAGTTGTATATGCTGAATTACCAATTCAAGCTTTAGCACATTTGAAATAACAGCACTTTCTCAAACTTCAACTCATATTTATTACTTGCTTCTATTAGAAAAAGTGTTGCTTGTGCATTCATATGATGTCCTATTGCATGTCTTGCTTTTCTTACTGTTTTAGATGTAATGTAATGTACTAATGAATGTACACCTCTTGGCCCATCATGAGAACATCTTTATGTTCTTAAGTTGTTTCACCACTCTATAATTAGATTCTCCATGAGGCTCTACGTAGGATTAACCTACCAATGATTAGTGAGAGACAAATCATTACAATAATATCTCTTAAACATCTTTCTTTAACATTCTTAAAACCTTAAGCGTGTACTAACAAGGCTGGTAGGGGTGACTAATATTGTTTCCAGCTGATAAAAAATCTGTCGCCTGAAAACTATCTCTGTAAGTTTTTATGAAATTTATCGCCTCCTGTCTTTGTTCTTCTAAAATACTTGTCATGTAATTAACTATGTAGCGTGACTTCCTTTTTTGTTTGACATCACCTATGATCTATATGTTATAAAATGCTATGTTATGTCCTACTATTTATACATTTCTGTACCAGTTCTCACATTAGCAGTATTTTTCCCTTAGGCTCATTTGGACTAATTTTCATGAAGGATGGTAATAGGCCACACCCTTTCTGAAGTCCACATATTTACCATGGTAATAGGCCATGTCTCAAAGCAATTGATACATGTTTCTGTTAAACGAATTACTCATAGTATTATGCCTGCAATAATTTCCTGATAAAATATGAATTTTCTGAGTTCATTTGTAACAAGATGTGCGTCTTGTTTCTGTTAATTAGTGTGGTTTCTTATGTTGTCAAGGTTTGAGCAAATTTCATCTTACGAGAGTACTATGGGCTCTCTTTTGATTGAAGGCAGCAGATGCAAATCTTATTGTAAGTTGGATGCAGAAAATCTTTGATTTCTTTTATTTGCTTTTAGCCATGTTTATACTTTTATTGCTTAGTGACAAGTTCAGAAGCAGAGATTAAAAAGCTTCCTCAGCACGTAATCAAAGTGTGTTTGAGGCTTCATTTAGTATGGCTTTCTTACCGCTTCTTAAAGCAACTTTTTAGTATAAAAAATTTAATTTTTTACTAAAAACCTGCATTAAGATGCAGTAAGAAAGCCGTCCCAAACAAAGCTTGAGTTTGTATTAAACAATTTTAACCAGCTTCCCTTTGTTTTTGGATTCAATATGGCATTAGATTGAAATGACTGTTGAACTAAGTAAGCAATGTGTACTTCTCTGTCAGACGCCTTGCAAACTTTTATAAATATAAAGAATTTTTGTTGTTGTTGTAAGAATTTTTGTTTTCCGACCTTTTCATCCTTGAAGAGCCTGCCATCTGATGATAGATTTATACAATCCTGAATTAAATTTTGATCTTCCCTTTTCCTTCTATCAACTTTTATGGAAAATTGAAGATTGGTGTTGACAGAACCTTGAGGTTGCAGCTTTTGAGTTAGACTTCTTGCATGTACTCACAACTTTTTTTTTTGTTCCCATCTCTGTCAAATGATGAAGGACATAATTCAATTCAGTAAACGTGGGTGGAAATATCCATATGAGGTAAACATTATTCTTTCCTTTATCTCTTCTGTCATTTCATGAACTTCTGCATCAATATGGCTACTGCACACCCAGCCAGGTTCACCCACCAACATCCCTGGCATAACTGTAGCGCATTAAGGGCTGTTCCTCTTTATGTGAACTAGAAACATTTTTATGTGTTTGTTTTATATGAGATTGAACAGCTATTATCCACTCTCAACGCTAGAAATTATTGCTGCAGTAATGTTAGTCAATGAAATGTCATAGGAACTAATCAGATTTTCAAGTAATAGCTTGACACTGTGATGGAGGAGCAAAACAATGGCATGTTGCATGAGTTGGACCATGACATTGGTATTTGGAAGGTTTTAGGTTTTTGTTTTTATTTAATAATGTCATGGTATGCATAGTTTTATAATAGGAGGTTTGTTAGGATTATAATAAATATTTGTTATTTTGAAAAGAGTTAGATTTGAAATTGATATGATAATTTATTGTTTTTATGGGAAAGTTTTGAGATAAGCTTTCTTAGACTTCGTTAAAGGCGGTTTTTTTACTGCTTCTCGAGTACAAAATTTTTAATTTTTATACTAAAAAGTTGTTTTAAGAAGCAATAAAAAAACTGTCCCAAATGAAGTCATAATTTTATTTTAATTTGTTTTTGTTGTATTATCGTGTCCAAAGTTATTATTTCTCTTTTTTTAGTGAAATTTGAGGCCTCCCTTTTGTGATAAGATTGATGAATTTGTAACAATGAAATGTGTTTTTTTAATGCCCACTTTTGGGAGTAAATTAAGGCTTCATTATGGACGGCTTTTTTCTGCTTTTTAAAAGTAGCATTTTAGTACAATTTTTTTTAGTTTTTTAACTAAAAAGCTGTTTTAAAAAGCAGAAAGAACAAACGAAACCTAAATGGGTTTGATGTTGTGTTAGATAGACCAATAGTTAAATCCGGATTCAAACCAAAAGCATGAGTTAAATAGTTGAGAGCTAATCACTTGATATTTATATGTTAACATATATTTTTTTCAATTATTCAATATAAGACTAAATTCAAAGTCTCACATATTTTAATAATCTCATTCGCACGTGTGAGTACTTCACTTCTATCATTATTCTTTAAAAAAAGGCTCATCAATTATTATGCATGAAGAGCAATTCTTGAGGTACTTTGTGCATCATATGCCTTTGAATCTTATTTAGTCATAGTAGAGCCCCACCTAAGAATCATAGGTGCCCTTATCTATAGGACATGTTGATCTCAATCGAATATTTGACTATAATACTTTTTTAGGTAGTAAACTAAATGAAAGGTAATCTTGATATTTCTATGTAATTATATTTTTCAACTATTCGATGTCAGATTAATGCTTTGTTTGGGGTGATTTTTTTTATTACTTCTTAAAATAGCTTTTTTGTTTAAAAATTTAATTTTTTATACTAAAAATTTGTTTTAAGAAGCAATAAAAAAGTCGTCACAAACGAAGGCTAAACCTAAATCCTCAAATTCTTTAGCATATTTATTGTAAATCTGTCTGGCTTCTCTATAAGTGATCTACTCTTCTTTTTAAAAAAAAAAAAAATTATTCCAAAAAAGATAAGGAAGCTACAACAAAGATTCAAAAACAACCAAAGCCAAAATACTTTAGATAACGAGAAACAAAAGCAAACTTAGCAAAACAAGCAATCAAAGATACAGGAAAAGGAGCAAAAAGTGGACTCAGGAAATGGCGAAGCTCCCACAACTACCCCACAGCCAGGCACGGACCATTAATTGGTGACATCCACTCATAAACACATCCTCAACCTACAACCCACACAGACCACCACCATATAGAAGGGCTTATTGCAAATGTTGCCAACAAGTCCGGGCCAACAAGATGATAAGCAAAGAGCCACCTCATCATCATCCAAATAGTCAATAAAGCCCATGGCATTGAAAGCGAAAGTATAACCCAAAGGCGTAAAGACTATTTCTTCTTAGATTTATTTTAATGTCTTTTGTCACCGTCATTGAGTACTGCTTGATCAAAAACACACCCCACCATGAAACTATGCATATCATCATTTACATGGTCACCAAAATCATCACCCTCCCCCCATAAGGCATGGATAGGGACTCATCCATATCCATCCAATCAGATTGATCCAAAATAGAGTTATTCAAATACCGAGTCAGATGGGCTTTCAAATCTGCGTTAGACATAACTGAATTAGGAATATCAACATACTCTGCATTTCCCTTCGAGACATTCACAATAGGAGACAAGTTCGACTTAACATTAATAGGTAAGCTCGAAGCCAAATTAATAAATGAATTTTCTACATCTCGGACCATAGACTCCGAAGTAATATAACCAACGAATGGATTGGCGAACCTGACAAAGCAGAAGCTAACAAATCCTCACTAGTAGGCAAACCATTCCCAGAACCCACATCAACAAACATATCACCCAAATATGCCACAACATCCGCACAAGAATGGCTAGCTATAAGGCTAATACCACAATTATTTTCAATCAAATTTCCATCCACACCCTCACAAATAACATTCTTAGGTGGAACCGAAGGAGCATGTTCCTTCTCAACAAGAACATAATCACTAAAGGCTAAAGCAAAATTCAATTGACAACATTATCCCCCAAATAATCAACAAAACTTTCCAACCACAATACCAATGGGACTCAACTCCAAAGTTCTATCATTAGCATCATCAGCATTAACCACCCTATTGATGGTAAGCACAACAAGAAGCAAGGAAGGGATAGCAAAATGATTCAAATTCCCTTCACAGTTAACAATAATATTAACAGGTTTATAATAGGAGTAACATTATAGGCGGGGCAGAAGAGAGGTGAGGACGATAATCACCCATCATATGTACAGGAAGCACAAAAGGGGGGAAATCCTTCCATGAAAACTTGCTAAACATAACTCAATTTCTCAGGACCTAACCAAACTTTGTTAGGGTAAGATTTAGTGATGTCAATCTCAACAAGCACACGAGCCACGAAAGGCTGAGACCAACAGAAGTAGCAGTGTCAACCTTCAAAAATTTGCCAAAAATTGAACCTAAACTGTGAAGTATACGATTGGAGTAGAGATGAGGACGGAGATGCAAAAAAGAAACCAAAATAGGGATCACCGGAGATTTAACACCAACATCAAATAAAGGAGACCACTTGGTTATTTTCATGTAACAATTATACACTAGATAAGATCTATGACAAAAGACCCTACAATAATAAAGATCATTAGCCAGTTTGATCAAAATATGCGACAGATCAAATTGGGTAACCAAGACTTCTCCATTAAGCTTAAGATTGAAAAATAGCCTCCGAATAGATTCAAGAGAGGGGCACTTAGAGGGGAAGAAACTGGCTAATGAAAATTGAAAAGGGACAACCAAAGCCAGAATTTCATGCTACGAAATTCATAGAGAAGGAAAACCATAAAAGGAGGTATTTTTAAGATCAAGAAAACTCACATCAGAGGAAAAATCATAAAGAGCTTCCAAAATTGAGTGAGATTTTAATGAACCCTCTAAAAACCAGGTTCGTACAGGCGATTCGCCACCATTCTGGGTAGGACACTGGAGATGGATGAAACGTAAACAAAACGGTAAACCAGTGAAAATTTCAAAAGGAGAATAGAAGACATCCCTGGATGAAACACCGCCTAGGAGCACCAGCGTCACCGAGCAGGGCAAGGTAACCCTAACGGAGGGCGAGGGAACCCTAGAGGAGAATTTGACAATGATTGAAGGATATTAGGTGATCTAGTTTTCTTTATATAGTTGTTTTAATTGAATTAGGCAACTCTTGATTTTTTTCCTTATATGTGTAAGATGAAAGCCAAATACTCATACTTAGCTTAGAATTAACCTAAGAGTTTTATCTCAAGTGATATGCTCACTTATTCTTAGCTTAGAGGTCATAAATTAAAATATGGATTTTGATATTCTTTAATTAATGTTGACCTCTATAACAAATCCAAAATTAAAATTAAAATGTAAAATACCTGCCCCAAATCCTGTCAAAACTTGCACATCTGGCAGCCCATCATGGTATTATGCTCAAATCACGTCGAAATCCTATAGATGTTATGCATATCAGCTCTGAACTGTCTATTTCTGGCAAGATGATGCTATACAACTCGTCGATCACGCCCCCATTTGTTATTAAAACGAGGAAGGAACAAAAGCTGAGGGTTCTGATTTTCCTTCATCTCAGCCAAATCACAAAGCCCCATTGATTTTCTTATTCTTCCTCATCACCTGCAGCCGACCTGCTTGCAAGCCCCAAACCTTCCGAACACTTTAATCCACCAACCTTACTCCATTACAAGACTCAATTCTATGTCAACATCATTCGCTCGCTTCTTTCACACCCACAAAACCTCTTGACCGGAACTAGACGCCAACCTGCATTCCGAGCTCAAAGGCCTACTCTACACCTCACCTGTCCCATCGAGCTCGATTCAACCTCACTCATAGCACCGAACTCAACTCCTAGCTACAAGTTCCCAGACGCACGGAGGTGTCTGCATGCCTCCAGTTGATTGCATCTCCTCAACACTTCTGTCCCTCTATCATTGCATATTTTAATGCACTAAGTTGATGACCAAGATGTATTTGAATGGTGTAAGGTAAATATCGCCTGCATATAACCAATGTCACCTAATTGAAATCATCGACTATAGATGTACTGCAAGAGTGACATGCCTTTTGCAAATACAGATTCACATTCAACATCAAATAATTTGTAGATGAATACATTAGCCCGCCTGCAATAAGCAACAATAAATACATTGCAAGAATGAGGAGTCCTTTGCAAACATCTAGAAGTTGATATATGAATGAATGAAGCTCATTGACAGCCTACATCAACACACAAATGAAAATGCTAACTTGCCTGCAAATAACAAAATATCTTGCAAACATACGCAATGCAACATACGATGAATACGAATGCTTGGTGGCAATGATGAGAGATTTGTCGTATGCATAGTAGTATGCCTACAAGTGATAATCAACAATGGGCAATGAATGCTACGACACTCTTACAATCAACCACTATTCAATGTCAAGCATATATGATGGTCTGTTGCATGCATAAGCAGAGGATATATAGCGAAATGCAAGCGTCTAAGAGCATATGCAAGAGAATTGTTAGTATATGACAGTCTATATGCAAGAAGTAATAAATAATCATAGTGCAACGCCATATTAACATATCCTTAATATGCATACAAGCTGACAGAAGGCGCTTATCAATTCGAAAACCAAATCCCTGCATACATGTCAATAGGATTCATTTGCATAGCTGATCATTGCACCCCACCCCCCTAATGCATTGAAAGAGTGCTGACACATTCATACATGTATTCACACAAAAATGTTGTATACTTGTGGCACTGCATACGTACAACTATTACATAAATATGTTATGCAAGAATGCTTGCAAAAGTATATACCCACATGGTCCTCGACGAGTGTATTATACATACATATGACATCAGAGGATGTTATGTGGGTCAAAAAATGAACCTGAGTTTGAGCCCGACCCTCATACATTAATGGATATGAGTCAACACGATTCGACCTATCAAACAAATATATGATTGCGGCATCAACATGAATATTTATTTTAATATTTTTATATTAGGCCTTCAAGGATTATGACAAAGAAAAGTCATTAGCAAAGGTATAAAGCATATAATGAACTTAATCCACTATCCGCAAATAGACAGAGGTGATGTCAATGTTCAATCTAAAAGGTAAAATTTTCCCATAAAAAAATTGCGATGATGGTCGTGTTGACAAAAAAATCATAACTAGAGAGGATCCCAAGTATTCAAAAAATGTCTCATAATGCCTATAAAAATCCAAAATTTTAAAAATCATCCAAAGTCGAAATATTTAAAATGAAATAAATCATCAAATGCTTAAGTAAAACCCATCCATCCTCCACAATAGTTTGTTGAGGTGGACAAATTTGAAAATTACTTTAGCTCACAATGATCCAATGTCAGGTCAAGAATATCACTATGATTCATTCTCAGACAGTCTACTACAAGTAAGGGTGTGGCATATGTCTTCTAACTGGTGGTTTTGCATCCAAATGACATCATAGGTAATTGGTTATGACCAAGACCCTCTGAACCGTGTGGTTTTGCCGCCAAATGGCACCACTAAATTATGATCATGGTCAGAGCCTGTGTGCTCTCCAATGACGTCAAATCCTTGAGATATGCATCAATAGGATATAATCGATAGGGCACAATGCCCTTTGTTAACTAAGGTGGATTCAAATTTTCCCCCTTACCCAAATACTCGAGCATGATGACTCTAGACAACGAAACCATGGGATATTATTCATGTCTATCATCACTCCCCCCACCGTCTTCTTTAAGTGTAAGGTGGTGCATTTCTAGTTTTAAATATCAAATTTTCAAATACCAAAATAATGCTTCTATTATACACCAGATTCAACGCTTCTCTACATATTTGTTAGGTGACTAACCTTAATTGAAAGTTCTCTCTCATTATCGGGAGGGGTAATTAAATATACCAGAACTAAGATCATAAAGTCCTCACAAAATGAGGGCAAAATCACTAGGTAGTGTCTTATTTAAAACCCAATCCGCCTTCTAAAAAATTGTCTAAGAACTTAAAAGTTAAAACTCTCCTTGACGACCCGTAGATGAAGAAAGAAAGGTGTCCACGGAGAGGACGGGGCCCAAATTTTCCGAGCCTACAATTAAATATTTCTAACTTTCTATTGAATTTGGTGCATAACACACCTTACACTATTGTTATCAATGAATATTTTAATGCTTATTTATCAATATATAATTGATATATCATCAAAAAAATATCTTGATCGGGCACAAATCTCGAGGCAAAATCAAGTCGGAAACTTCAAAAATTAAATCCGGGATCACCTGAAATTCTATTTCAGCAAACTTACAGTCAAACTGAGCATCTCAGAAATACGAACTCAACAACACCAAATTCAACTTAATCTGAGCCAAAATAAGTTCGAATCGAAGACCTGAAGTGTTGTTGGCAGATTCAAACCACAATTTGGATTACAAAACAGTTTCCAAACATGACACACTTATACTCAAATCGAGCGGCTCGACGAGACGAATCCAATGAGTCCAAGATCACTGAATTCTGATATCATTAAGACCTTCAAATGTCTAATAAACGGTCCACGATCAAAAGATTCAATATCAGTCGTCCATCCGATCCACTCCACCTTTTCCCTTGATCCTCCTCCTATTTACAAGTCATGCCATCCTTGAAAAACTAAAAATATCCTTCTCGACCACCGTCGGAGTTCTGCTCGATGCCCAAGTGACGTCGGAATTCTACCCGACGCCGGAATTCTGCCCATGCGACGCCAGAATTTTGCCCAAGTGACGTCGGAATTCTACCTGACGTTCAAGTGACGCTGAAACTCCGCCCGATTTCCAAGGGACGCTGGAATTCTAAGTGACTATGAATTCAACTCGAATACACAACTTGTCCGTAACTGGACTTCAATCCGGAAGTAAATCATTGTAATATGATCGTCCTAAATTCTAAGGACAAGTCAGCCTCTTGTATCCCAAGAAAACACTAGTGAAATTTTTTTAATTAGGCGTGGCCTAGTGGTTTTTCCCCTTTCTAGGGTTTTCCATATAAAAAATATGGGTATATTTATTTCTCTCATGTTTGTGTGCTAGATATCTGTACAACGTTGAGACATAAACTTTCTAACTCTATTGCCGCGTATATTCTAGCCCGCAACATCGTGGCCCCGTGGTTTTTCTCCTTTTCATGGTTTTCCACTTAAAAATCTGGGTGTCCTTATTTCTTCATGTTTTTGTGCTAGATATCCGTACAACGCTAAGACGTAAACTTTCTAACTCTATCATCGCATATATTCTAGCCCGCAACAATAATAGTTCTTATATCTTTTGTTTTTTTAACTAAAATAAAAATATTTGGAGAAATTTCTTCTCTTTAGATACAAATTCAAGCTTTGAATTGATATCCGCTTGAAATGTTACCCAAAATTGTTTACTCCATGGAGTCATATGTGACTAAATAGTTCTAAACTAAACAAGGAGCTTAAGCTTTTTATCTGGGTATCATATTCATAATTTTGAGAAATTGTATATCGTCATTTGGCTTATCTGAAAGAAATTGTATGGTCTTTTGAGAGTTTTTCAAAGGCATTATTTCATCACATGCATTTTTTTACTTATGTATCAAATTACAAAATCACATGCATGAATTTTTATTTTAATTATCTTGAATGAGATCGAATCCCTTAACCAACTAGCTTATAGTAGTTAGTGAAATTTCGGCTTCATTTGAGACATTTTTCTTACTATTTTATAAAGTAATTTTTTAATATAAAAATATCTTGAAAATAACAAAAAAATAACAAAAAACTATCCCAAACGAAAGCCTTCATATATCTAATAATTTTTTTAATACATCCAATCTAAATAATAGTTTAATTTAGGGTTTTGACTCAATGTCAGGAGTCTGAATTTTAATATAAGAAAATTTAATAATTAAAAAATTAATATTTTGATATGCTCTTAACTCTTCAAAAAAAAAATCTATTGCAGCTCCATTTTTTTGACCTCATGTTTATAATTATTTATATTTAATAAAATTATGCTCTCTCATCATAATAAATAATAAAATTAAAAAAATTAAAATTCACACAAAAGATAAAAGAGTAATAAGAGGTCCTGCATAGTCCATCTTGATCTATTAATTAAGAGCTTAATCTAGCAATTAAAAGATCTTGAGTAGTTAGCTAATAAATAAATGGTCCTCCCCTCCATAGTAGAAAATCTAGCATAAAGCCACTAACTGCTACATCCTAAACTACCTGAGCTAGAAACACTGAAACAAAGGGAATCATAATAAGAGTCAGCATCACCAAAGGAAATAATAAATAAATAATAATAATAATAATAATAATAAATATCCCAATCACATGCTCTGAAATGGTACTCTCAAGTCTCAAGCTTGCTTACAGGTCCTCAGGTTGCAGCTTCTGCCAAGTCTTCCCACAATCATGCCTCCATTATTGTGCTGCCCCCTTCTCGAACAATTCCAGTGCAACTGCTGCCTTACTGTCTCACTTTCTCTTATATTTCTCTTTCCTATCAATTTTTTTTTTTCAATTATTAAAATTACTACTATTACAACAATACTAATATCAAGTTTTTATCCTACTACGTGGGGTCGGCTACATGAAAATTTTTTTTTTCCATTATGTCTGACTAAGAGTCAAATTTTCATTTAGATCTAATGAAGAAAAATAATTTCTAATATTTTCTAACCAATTTTTTTAGATCTATTTCTGTCTTTTTTTTTTAAACAGAGGTTAAATTTAATAGATATACTTTTCTAACCGAATCATTGGATTTAAAATTAATTAGCTCAAAACTATCTGGTTTTAGTTTGAGTACCTTAAGCTAAATCTGCTTATAATTTGGGAGTCAAGGCAACATAGCTTGTTAATTTTGATTCATAGCTCGATTTAGATTTTTTTAAAGAATATAATTTTAATTAGCTTATCTTCTAAAAAAAAATTTATTCGACATGCATCATGCTGATTTGTAAATGTGGAATTTTATTTTCAAATTGGATTTATCAATTAAATTATGATTAAAAAATCGTTCTAATTTGGAGGGAAGTAAGAAAAAAAAATCTATTATTGCTTAGTGGTAGTTTCGGGCGTAGGTGAGACAAGTTAGCTTGTGAGACTATTTGAACTCGATTTACTAATAAATTCACGAGCTAAGTTTTTCGAGCTACGAATTTGAGTTCCATCTTAAATTTTAGCTAATATATTATATTGGCTCGAACTAGAGCTGGACTCACCTCAACTCAGCTCATTAGCTTGGCGATCAAGTCCATTCAATTAATACTAATTAACATATTGATATTTATATTAATATAATTAATTATTTTATCCATATTCAAAATAAGAAATAAAGGCCTCCAGCTATCTTATCAAGTTCGAGCATTAGAGTCAAGACCGGCCCTTATATTTTTCATTCGAGTCAAGCTCGAGTTCAGCTCAGTGTAAACTAAACAAATTTGACTTGATTAAGCAACTAAACTTGACTCGCTCTTTTAACACCCCTAACGATAATGATTCCAACAGTAAGTTCTAAACCAGCTGATACGTACCATATGCATAAATTTATGATTAAATTCAATCAGAATTAAAAAAAAAAAAGTAAAAAGGGCTCAGGAAAGGACATCAAAGTTCTCAAAATAGCTGCACTTCATCTTACATTACTAGATTAGTAAAGAAACTTATAATAACCATAACTAGCAACAAAAGTAAAGGAGAAAGCTAAAAGGCTGCAGCATCATTATATTATATATATATATATATATAAGGCCATATAAGCGTTATTTAAAATTAACGCTGTAATCTCTAGCAGCATCACTAAAAGGATCATTCCATTCCCAAAGTTTATTGGATAATAGCGGTGGCAATTGATTCACAGGAAGCAGTTGTGGCTGGTTCAGGTAGCTTACAATCCTGCTCAGTTCATGCACAGAGGTGTCTGAAGAAGAATGTATGGGTGGCTGTGAATGGTACTGTGATGAACCTTCTTCTTCCATTGGAGTTGAGCTGAGAGAAACTATGGGAATGGTGGTGGAAGAAGCGTACATGGCTTCCTCTGTGCATTTACAGTCGCCAAGCTCTGAAGAAGGTGAAGGTCCTTCTCCAGCTGCAGATTGTAGATAGCCTATGGGAAGAGGATTGATTTGTCTGAGATTTTTGTCTGGTGTAGTAGTGCTGGATGATGAAGCCTTGGAAGAGATTTTGTTGGAAGAACGGTGGTGATCTTCTACACCAGGTCTCTTGTACACTCTGCACAGCGAGATCTCCGTCTGCAAAGCGCGTTTGTTAAAGCTAGCATTTCTGCTTTTTATCTGTTTGTTTTCAGTTTTTCATGGATGTAATGTGATATATGGATCAAATTAAAGCAAGGAGAAAACGTACTTTAGATCATGATATTTTAATAAAAAGCTTAACAAGAAGAATTTAATGTAATTTAATTACTAATTTTCCAATACAAAAGCCATCATAACATAAGGAAATGATTAATCTTTAATGACAAATTAACTAACCTTATAATTTCGATCGGTTTCAGGCTGCGGGAGCCTGTACTCATTCATGATCCAGCTAGTGCGGATTCCTTTAGGTGCTTTCCCCGAGTAAAAAACAAGAGTTTTCTTCAGCCCAATCGGTCGCGAGTTCTCGCTCCGAATCATCCGGTCCGCTCCGGTCGCCTTCCAGTATCCCGATGTGGTCACCCGGTTCGGCCGGTCTCCGTTCCTGTACTTCCTGTCCCTCGGCACATAAAAGAACCATTCTTTCTCCCCTATCGCTGCCAGTGCTGCAAATTCCACAGCAATAATAGAAATTTGAACAATTTTGAAGAAAGAGTAGGTCGCCTGAAAAGCAAAGCTAAAAATACTATTTTTAGATGCAGAAGAAGAAGAAGAAGCTGAAGAAGAAGAAGAAGAGGAGGAGGAATTGCGAAGGAGTACAGGGAAGCTCCCAAGGGTCATAGCGATAGAGATCGAGGAAGGTTATGAGGTCGACGTTGAAGCGTTTTCCTTCAACTTTGCGACGGAGATAGAATTCGATGAGTTCTTCTTCTGTAGGGTGGAAGCGGAAGCCGGGCATGACGAGGTCGTTCTCGTGCGCGTCTTTCTCAGCTTCGTCTCTGCTCATGGCAGCGGCGATTGCCATAAACCGTTTGGCTAATTCTTCATTGGAAAAGTGGAGATATATATGATTTTCTATAGTCTTGCTTGCTTGCTGCTGGATCGACCCTTTTTATACTGTGGGCAAGTGGGCTTAGCTGTCCAATGAGTGCAAGTTGGGTCCTTTTTTTATCTAAATAAAAAAATAACCAAGCTTATATTTTGGGTAAATATTGTGAATATAATTTTGATTAGGATGAATTTGTATTTCATTCACCTCAGCTATTTTTTTATGAAAAAAATGATTTTTTTTTTTTAAAGAAGAAACGGTTTAATTATAGTTAGCACTATTTTTCTAACACTGTAGAAGAGTAAAGGGAGAGAGGAAGGGGAAGGTAGGGAGGATCAAAAGGGAGTACAAGAATGCTATATATGGATATGAGAGAGAGAGAGAGGAGAGAGAGAGAGAGAGGCCCTACTTGGGAAAGGAGCATGGAGGTATTAAAGAAGTGAAAAAGACTTCACAAGTAGAGGACAGCTTGGCGGTGGCCTCTTAGAGGTGATTCATTATTTATTTTCTCATTCTCTTCATGTTTTTCTACCTTCTTCCACCATTATTTTCCTCTCTTTGTATCATCTAACAAAGCTTAAATCTCTTATTATTTATTTTTTCTGAATATTTGACTGCCTTCAGCTTAGTTTCTGCACTCAATATTATTTAATTTCTTACTTAAATTTCGTACTATATACATCCTTAATTTCTTTTTAAATTTTGTTTCCTTCATCCTTCAAAATATTTTACTTTCTGAGCATCTTGGGGGGTGTGGCTGTACGTCGTCGTATACTGGTATTTGTTAGTCGTTCAATTTTAGCATGCATGCATGATGTGAATTTTGCATGCACGGATCTACAGCCTTGTTTGAGAAATGCTAAGAAGTCCAAAATGAATTTGAATTAAATTTAAAATATTTTTAATATGATTCTCCAAAATTAAATTTTTATTGTCACAAGCACATAATTCGAATAGGAAAGTAAAACATTTTTCTTTAATTTTGAATTTGTGTTATGGTCAAATGAATTGTGTTATATGTGTGTAGCTTGCTTGCAGTAAAAACATTCTTCTTCAAGTGGATGAATGGCGGAGAAGGTTGTGGACCTGAAGTAGTTGGATAAGGCTCAAAGTATACGATAATTAGCAACTTACTTATTAAAGGAGTGTATGAGGCCGACCATTGATTAGTTGGATTATGAAGTTAATCACATATTATGCTGGATAAACATGGTATTTCATCTTCAAATATTTTTGCTTTTCTTTTTAAATTTTTTGCAATGGAAGATGATTACTAATTTTTTGCTTAATATTTTCATTTTTTTTGGGTGTATCTAAGGTAACAATTGGCATAGTTTCTATATATGTTCACATGTAGTTTTATAATGAGAGAGAGAGAGTTCTTTGTTACGAATGATAGTCTACACATAATTAATGAAATAAACGAAAAGCAAATGCACGAGGCAAAAGTTTTTAAATTAAAATTTTTAAAAAGAAAAGAATATGGTGCTTAATCTAGTTAATTAACTTCCACTAATAGTTTTATGAATTATAAAGGGTTGTTGTTCTAGGAACTCTGTGTGTTGGCCATTTCTTAAGGAAGGAAGTTTCTTGAAAGAGCTACAACCTTTTTGGATGGTTTCTCCAAGAGATTCAATGGAAGGGGTGAGGAGGAGAGAGAGCTTGTGAAATTTTTTTATTTTTTAAGATATTTTTTGGTTGACTTAGAGAAGTCCATGCAAATTACAAACTGTATTCGCTATAACATTTATGATGTCGTATTTAGCTTCCTTAATTTTTTTCGTAATTTTTGGGCACTATCAAAATTTATTAAGAAATCGACACCTATTGCTACAAGTGGGGGTTTTGGGACCGTTACGTGTCCGTTTTGCAAACCGATTTCATCTTAATTTTTTAAATAAAATTTGTTAATTTATGAATATTTTTTTGGTAATTTTTTGAATCCCTAAAAGAATTTCTTTGATTTTTTTTATTAAAATTAATTATAATAATGTTATTATATATTATTTAATTATAAAAATCTAAAATATCTAATCCCATTATTTAAGTTGCCATTTTCTTGGTTTTGAGAAACAAAGAGCAGCTTTCGTTTGCAGTACTGTGACATTTTGAAATAAGAGAGGAGAAAGAGATGTGAGAGAAAAGAAAATTTGGATTTTGGATAACTTCGGGTCATTTTCGTTCGTCAAAGCAGTTGAGAAAGTTGTTCGACTCGAGGTAAGACACATTATGCCCATCTCAATTTTCGAAAATGTGAAAGCTTTGGCCAATATTTTGATTAAAATTTTGTATATGTTAGCAAAAGTGGGGATAACTTTGCACCTGTAAAACGTTCATCGCATAACTTTTTGAATGTTGTAGAAATTACAATTATACATATTTTGAATATTTTTTGGAAATGTTTCATTGGGTGTTTTAAAATTTGTGGAGTTTTTAGCGAATAAAAAATTATCGGGATGTTAAAAAATAGTGTTGTAGTACAATAAAAGTCTTAAAATATTATTTTACACAATCCCTGATAATTTAGTAGTTTTCTAAAAATATGTATTTTTTCCTAGTTGGATTTTCTATTGTCTACCGTTATACAATACTGTGACATTTTGATACATGCTCAGTTACTCTTTAATTGTTATTATATGATTATTGTGATTAAATTATATCTTTTGGGAGCCATAAGGGGTTAGAATCCTTTGAGATTCTGTATATGTTAGGAAATTGCTGTGAGTTATAAGGGGTCAGAATTCTTTGAAATTCTATTTGAGACATGGATATTTGATATATTCTAGTGATATAAGCATAATTAAAAAGGGAGTCATAAGGGGTCAGAATCTTTTGAGATTATCTCTGGTTCCGAGAAATATGATCTGAACTACTCTATGATATGAATTATAATTTATTCATTAGTTATGTACTGTTATCTAAATCATAGAATAACTGTAATGCATTTATTACATTTTCTAGTTTTGTGATTCTCAATTTAGTTATTTATTTAAATTGTAATTAATTACTTTTAATTATTCAGTTTATTCGATAAAATATTTGATAAAAAAATATTTAAAAATTTAAATTGATTTGTGTGACTTGCTGAGCTGTTGTAATCCACTATGATTTTACTTCTAGTTTTCAGGATCTGGTAAGGGGAAAGAGGTTGTGGACTAGCTGTTCAAGATCAGATCCGAGGTCATAAGTATTTTGCTATTTTGATTTTTGTACAATTATGACTAATTTAATTTTCAGTTATGTAGCTCTTGCATGTAGCCATGTATTGTAGTGTATATATTTATTTTAATGAATGAAAGAAATTTTATGGATGAGTTTTTAGTATTTGGATATTTTAGTAGCTCTGTTGTTCGTCATTATTTCAATGAATATCAGCAGAAAAATTGAAATAATTCCAAAATTAAATCTTAGGGTTTGCCTGTCACAACTCAACACAATAAGACCTGTTCTGATCAAGTTGGGTTATGAAAGAGCTAACCTCTCTACTTATAATAATAATACATTAATAAAAAGAACCTAGGAATAAGATAATTAAAACTTGATCAAAATACTAACAATCTCCATCTTGTTCCAACTTTGTAAAGCTAAGAAATGAAAAAAAAAATCTGTTGTCCACAAAGAACAGCCCTATCTACCATCCCCACCGATTGCCACTTCTCCTCCACCTATTATTCACAAAGAACGGCTCAAGAAAAGGCATCCACCAGACGGTTACCTGCTTATCCTACTAATCATTTGAACTTGGGTCTGCTGTGACATTCTAGCTTAGGCTTCGCTTTCGATCCTATGAGCCCAACTCTCGTATTCTCACGCCTGGCTCAACCTTACGCATGGCACCTGCTCTCATGCTCTTGTGCATGACTCGACCTTTTGCACGACATCAGGTCTCATGCTCTTGCTCTTGCTTAGCCTTCTACATAGCACCAGCTTCTACGCTCCCATAATTAGGGTATTCTGATTGGATCCTTGCATGAACTCCAAGAGCAAGCTAGCTGAGCCGAGCCCAATCCCACTCACACACCTGCCTCCATTGTGTGCATTATGATCCATGAACCCAACTTACACTCACACGCATTCTAACCCACGTACGCCTATGCTTGTCGTTATTCCTAATGCAATCTACACACTCATGCCCCTCTAGTCCCACTCGCACTTTGGCACACTTCTTTTTGTGAAAACATTTTTTATGTATCCTTTCTGCATGCACAATTCAGTCTCAAGGAACTATTCTTGGTTGATTCTTTTTTGAGCAAGTTATGTTGGTTAGAAGATTTCCTAATGCCCTTCAAATTGCAACTCCAAAGCTTGCAAATACCCGCGTGAAATATCCTCCAACTCTTGTTCCCAGACCTAGGACTCCTGCACGACACCCTACTCTGACCTTGATCCAGACCCGCATTGGACATACGTGCAGCTCGCTCCCGTGCCCGTCACCTGAGCGACCCGATCCCGTACTTCGCATAGTGCCTCCCTGCATCACATATGTGTTCACCCATGCCCGTATAACTCCTTTTACATGTCCACTCATCCCCTATGCATGTCCTCCCAGCATCTTACGTACTCGTTCACCCATCGACTCCTATATGGCATGCACTAATTAACTCCCAGGCACACTACCCGCCTGTATAATCCAATTAACCTCCCTACAATTCTGGTCTGATCCCACATCTTCACTCCATGCGCAATCCTCTTGATCGCATGCCCTCTTAAGTATAATCGAGCACAACACCCGATCCCGTAGTTCCATCTTGAGGCCACCTGTCTGACCATAGTACAAGCATGTGCTTGCAAAACTCTCATGTGATTGTCTCCTGTATGTACTCGTTGCCGCAAACTAGCAACCCTCCATACTATCCCACTTCGTCCTGTGCTTCACCGACAACTCGACCACCTCCTCTTCTTGATTACAAGAACATCTTCATCCTCCTACCCCATGATTGCCTCCACTAGGCTCTAACACCAATTTGATGATAATTTCTAGATGAAGGAAGTTTCTTGAAAGAGCTACAACTGGATACTCCAAGAGATTCAATGGAGGGGGTGAGGGGGAGAGAGAGCTAACCCCTCTACTTATAACAATAATTCATGAATAAAAAGATCCAAGGAACAAGATAACTAAAATTGGACCAAAATATTAACATTTTGAATGAGTTAAAACAAACTTGGCAATTGAGTGAATGAAGGTTATTGAAGATGACTATGAAATTTATCATCCCATCAAGATGAATATGAGAAAATTATAAGGCATCAATAATAGGTGAAGGAAGGTC